CACACACACACACACACACACACACACACACACACACACACACACAGTCCTGCAGAACAACTGCTGTCAATCATTCACAGACTCTGCTTCATTCTTAAACTGAAACTAAAAGTTTATTTGATGATAAATAACTGATGAAGATGTATTTATGATGCAGCTGCAGGTAAACTGAACACCTGGCAGTGTACCCCCCCCCCTCCCGCTATATCCTGTTAACCACAGCGTTTGTTCCTGAGAAGCTCCACCCACTTATGGTTTAAACAAACGGGCTACAAGCGTTAGCATGTTAGCAGGTGAAATAAGCATAATAATCTGTGGCTTTAAAGTGTCTTTGACATTCCTTTACATCGAATACAAAAACTCAAAGAAAACACATTTTTATATAAGAAACTTTGCATAAAACATGATTTTTACCCATTTGGTCACATAACTGCATATTTTCTTTTGAACGTGGATCAACCAAAGTGAAACAGGAAGTGACATCAAAGGGGAACTCTTTAAGAAAGAAAACTCTAGTCTTTGTTAATTGAAATTATATTATTTAAACTCTGACTCTTCATCTCTCAATAGACTCAAAATAATCTAAAGAAACAGATTCTTCTCTATAATCTGTGTCCTTGGCCATTTTATCAACGCTCTAATCCATGCAGACACTCCCCTCTGACATCACTTCCTGTTTCTTCAAATGCAAATATCTCAACAACTGTTCATCTCAGCGGTGTGAAATTTATTTTTAAAATATGTTATTGATGTTATGTTTCCAATAATGCCTTTATATTTATTTAATATTTTCATGACACAGGCACTTTAATCTAGAATAATTTAATAAAACACGTCTCGATCTGCTTCGTTTCTGTACCGCAGGAAACATCTTGTTTCAAATTAAAAGTTCTGCAGCTGGGAACGAAGCAAATCAAACTTAGAATACAAAAATAAAGTGAGAGCGTCCAGCAGGAGTCCGGTCGTTAACCCGGTCAGCTCCTTCGTCACCCTCCTCTTCGTCTTCCTCGGCTCTCAGAAAGGAGGGAAGCTAACGAGGAGCCCGTCGCTGTAAGCTGTCACCTCATTACGCAGAAGCTCCATCGATTCCAGCCAGACGAGGGGAGAGCGAGCGCAGGTTAATGCACCTGAAGCCTCACTCTGCAGCCTGGCAGGCGGCGCGCAGGGAAAAATGACCCATGACACCCTCAAACGTTCAGGAGGTTCTAACAGCAGGTTTGTGACGGAGTGGTTCTCCATCAGCCCAAACAGGTCGGAGCAAATGTTTAAAGAAAAAAAAACACGTCTAATTTCATCTGAACCAGAACCAGAACCTGAAAGAATCGCCTTTATTGTCATTATAATTTGCATTACAATGAAATTGGATTTGCTGCTCCAAGGTGCTTGTTTTTTTTAGACATTATAAAATAACTTTAGGAGAAAAGACAATACAATAAAATAAGACAAGTTCAAATGAAATAAAAACAAAAATGTGCACTAATAAAAAAAAGAGAAACCAAAGAGTTTTTGTACAAATGAAGAACAGAAGTTTTACAGTATATTCTTCTACTTTGTTTGTAATATTGCACAGAGATGTTCCTGAGAATATTTCACTGGAGATTGATGTGAAATATATATTGAGATGAACCAGAATAAATCTCTGTTTGGAGTTAACTTAGTTCTACCTCAGTTCAAGACTGAATTGTACCTTAGAGCAGTGATTCCCAACCAGGGGTACGTGAGCCTATTACGGGGGTACGTGGAAAAATTTCTCAGATGTGTAAAAAATTTAATAAAATAGGACTAGAAAACGTAGGGCCCTATGATTTCAGCAATGCAGAAAATGCAGACGAAATCACTGAATTGACACAAAATGGAACCCAGTATAAAATGTGGAATCTCTTGGAATTTGCTCATTTGGTCGAATTTTTGAAGTACTTTGGAAAACACAACAGATTTTGGACGCTACTGCTTTTTGCACCTGCCGTTACCTGGTTTATTTATTTAATTATTTATTCACTTTCAAGGCAATGTTTGATTTGAAGAGAATAAAATGCCTGAGAATTAAACGTTCTAGAGGGTTCAATAAATAAATTTAATTTAATAATCAGTTGTTGTACATTATAGTTTCAGAGAAGCATCATTACGTTTGACAGAGGGGGTACTAGTGGTATGRTAAATTGGCTTGGGGGGWACACAAGTCTAAAAAGGTTGTGAACCACTGCCTTAGAGGTCA